GTCCTTCACAGGGACATGTATAAATGTTCAGTACCCAGCTTCTTGAAGTCTTTTGTGAAGTTACAGAAAGTTTAGGGAGTGGCATCTACCTGGAAGGGTAGGTCACTTGGTCCTAATTCTTGTGGCTCTATTTCTTGTTTACTCCTAAGTGGAGAACAACTTCTAACCACAGGCCCACATTACCATGATGCTCTTTCTGTTCACGCACAGGGCCAAGCCATCATGTACTAGACCTTTTGAAACTGTGAATCAAAATGGAACAAAAGACTTTAAGGTCTTTCTGTCTGATATTTTGTCAAAGTGATGACAAAGTGAACAAATACAGTGGCATTCACCAGCGACAACTTTATGCTATTTCCTAGTCTTTTCAACACAGATGCTATCTCCTGAAATAAAAACAAGACTTTGGGCATGGACAACAAATCTCTTCTTTTCCTCAGCTCTAGCCATGTGTTGGACATGGAAGCGAATCCACAGATACTTATTATGAGCTTGTCATGAATTCTGTTGTCAACGTGACCTATTTTTTCTTGCTTCGATTTTTTCCCGTCTAATTTTAAACTCTCAGCCTTATTATAATAATATCCTCTGAACTAATTTTTCATCATTCCACTAGATCTATAGTTCATAAATTTGTTGAACCATGAACAAAAGCAAAAGGCTAGCACATGCAGGTACGAGCCATATGCACTCTTTTAATGAGTGGTCGCCATGACATATGGAGGAGGACTGCCCAGTTAATTATTGGGTTTGATGGAGTTGTTGTCTGCCTGCACGACTTAGTCCAGGGGCCCATTTATAGTGGTAAAATCCTGTAATGGGCTGGTCTGACCGATAAACAAAGTAAATAAATGAACCAAGTTGATTTAGTAGCTCACATAATTTGCTAGACTACCATAAGAATGTTATATTGCTTCTTAGCAAGAAAGAGGTTTACATACTTTGTGGAACTATGTAGAATTTCTCAGTGAAATTCCATTTTTGTGGGTTTTGTCTTAGCAATTTAATAAGTTTCTGCAGCACATAGAAACGAAATACTTTTGTCTTTTGAGAACCAATTATAGTAGGATGTCAAGTGAACAGATGCTTCTTTCTTTAGTATAATATTTTATTTCTTTGCATATTTATTTATTTTTGAAACAAGGTCTCATCTAACTCAGGGGAACCTCAAACTTTCTGGGTTTTTTTTTTGTGGTTTTTTGAGACAGGGTTTCTCTGTGGCTTTGGAGGCTGCCCTGGAAGTCACTCTTGTAGACCAGGCTGGTCTCGAACTCACAGAGATCCGCCTGCCTCTGCCTCCTCCCGGCCTGAGCCTCAAACTTCCTGTGTAGGATGATCTTGCATTTCACATTCACTTGCCTACACCTCCAGAGTACTGCGATTACTTACTTTACAGGCATGTTCCACTGCATCCAGTTTTATGTGGTGCTGAGCGTTGACCCCAGGGCCTCATGCGTGCTAGCTAGGCACCTTACCAACAGAGCTTCGTCTCTAGGCCCTCTTGTTCTCTGATAGAGTCCCATTAGGGAGCCCAGGATGGCCTCAGAATTACTTGATTTAGTCTCCCACATGCTGAATGTATGCCATTGCACCTGGCATTTTCTTTCATTTGTGTGTGGGGGGGGGTGGAGAAACTGGGTCTTGTTTTATAGTGGAGACTGACCTGGGCCTCCTATCAAAGAAATGAAGGAAGGAAAAAAGGAGGGAGGGAGGAAGGGAGGGAGGGAGGAAGGGAAGAAGGAAGGAAGGAAGGAAGGAAGGAAGGAAGGAAGGAAGGAAGGAAAGAAGACATTTAAGGCAAAAGTATAGGCACATTTGAAAGATAGTAAAGAGTTCTTCTACTTAATTTTTGTTCAACAAAAGTTCCTGTTGAAATTGCTCCATGATGTCGGCAGAGGTGCTTACAGCATTTTCTGAACTGTCCCTGTTGGCCACTGTGTCTCAGCTCCAGGACGTCTGTTGGCATTGAAAATTCTCTTCCTCACAGTCATAGAGGTCTTGGCTAGGAAGGCACGCTAGCAGTACCCTAGGCTAGATTTGCCCAAGTTCACATTTGTTTTGCCCTTTCTTCAGGTGTTACTGTCAGAGTTAAGTTTTAAAGAATGTTTTGCAGCCCAATATACACTTAAAACTTGCCTAGTTCATTTGTACACACTCCCTTCCATTGCATGGCTTTCTTCTTTTTTTTTTTTTTTTTTTTTGGTTTTTCGAGACAGGGTTTCTCTGTGGCTTTGGAGGCTGTCCTGGAACTCGCTCGCATGGCTTTCTTTTTGGACAAACTCCTGTTTAACAAAAAAGTTGCCAGTATCTTCCAGGACTTCGTTTATTATTGTATTATCATCAATTATTGTTGTTGCTATGTTATTGATATTATCATTATTATTAGTTACGGTGCTGGGGATTAAACCCAGTGTCTCATGCATTCACAGGACTGCATTTTCCCTGTGTGAGGCTCCACTAGTCCAAGGTCACTAGCTTCCCTCTCTGCGACCCCACTGTGAGCCATACACGACGCCTTTGGCTCTCTTGATGTCTCAAGCTGGTATTCATGGGCTTTTAATCTTCTCTGCTTTGTCTTTCTATCTATCTAGGTCTATTGAACAATTTTTTGATGTTTTTCCGAGTCTTCTATTATTACTTCTATTAACTAAAAATTTTAAAGGTAGCATTGTTCCTTGTTCATAGTTTAACCAGACCATGATGAAAGCAACATTTTTTTTTCATGTAGCATGCTCCCTCTCCCTCACCACGAACACCTTCTAATGGCATATACTTACTGTCTGTTAATATTTTTCTCTGCCCCCCCCCGTTCCATTTGGGTTCTTTTAATTAATAAATTTTTAGTGTGTGTGATGTGTGAGTGTGGACATGCATATATACCATAGCATGTGTATGGCTACCAGAGGATAACTTTTGGGGGGTGGTTCTCTTTCACCATGGGTTCCAGAGCTCAACCTCAGGTCCTCAGGCTTGTGTGGCAAGTGCTGTCTGCTGAGCCTGGTTCTTCTATCTCTTACTGGTGCTGGGATTACAGGCACGACTCACCACACTTGGGGACAGAAGCAGGCCTTGGATCATGTGAGACCATCACTCCAAGTTAGCTCCTAGTGGCCCTGTCTTTTGGCTCAAGCCTGGCCTCTTGCTGCAGCACCGCAAGGCCTAAGCTGTAGCCTGCTGCTTGCTGTCAGCTAGTGGAATGCACAGCCCCCAGTGCTCCAAGTTAGACACCTTCCCTGCTTTTCCACCCCCACTTCATCAATTTTTTTCTTAGCTTTAGCTTGAACTCTAGCTTCCAGAATTACCTGGTCTTGGTAAATTTACCTCTTGCTGTTATGGGTTTCCCCAGAACATCTCAGTACACTGAGGTGCCTGGCTTCTCCTCATGTGACCGGGGCAGGTTCTAGCTTGGCTCCATGACTCTGCTTCCTCCCCTGTTAAAAGAGACTCTGTTAACAAGTAGCTTGTCTTGGTGCCAAATGTCTCAACTTCATCACAGCTCCAGGTACTGGCATTTTGAAGGTTCTCAAAATGGTGGCTGTGTTCATAGCACCTTTATCTTCACACACAGAGTGATTCATGGCGACAGATATAGAAATGGGGAACAGCTGTGAGCTCCAGAGAAGGTGAAACAATCTCTTAAAGTCACATGGTAAGGCTGAGGACATGGTCATTGGCAGAGCACTTACGGGGAGCACGCATGGTCCCTGACACTTCAAATGAATACATGATAAATAAATTTAGTAGCCAGATGTAGCAGTGCACACCTTAATCCCAGTACTTGGGAGGCCAAGGCAGGTGGATCTCTATGAATTTGAGGGCAGCCCCGTTCTACATAGTGGGTTCCAGGACAGTCAGAGCTGCACAATGAGACCCTGTCTCAAAACAAAACAAGACAAAATCCCAACACATGTATGTAAATAGAACTGTACACACTACTGTCAGCAGTGTTAAGGCATTTATATTTTTTGAGCACTCTCTTTTCTAGGGCATATTTTCAGGTTTTCCTCCTACGTCCTTCCTTCTCAGAGACACAGCTGAGTAAGAAGACTCGCCTGTCTCCCAAGAAAGGTTAGACTTGGTTAGAAATCTGGAGTTGACTTTGATTTTGAAAGTCGTTGTCTTCTGAGGCACAATGGTCAATGAGGAGACTTTGGACAGAAATGGCTCTTGTCAGTTGTGTGACTGTGCCTGACTCAGTTTCCCTGAGATGCTTTCCATTGGTCAAATGATAATGTTAGTATTTGCATTACAGCATAACCCATGGCACTAGGGATGAAAGCTAGCAGGAATTTGGTAGCTTTGGTTATTGTCACTGTCAGCATCAATTACCTCAACTAGTGCGAGAGTCAGACAAGGACCCAAGGAGATGTCGTACTGTCCTCCTTGTTCTCATTCTGCTCTTCCTTTCCAGTCTGCAGAAGTAGAGACTGGGTGTGGCCTACCATGGTGCTCTTGGGAGATGCACCACACACTTGTAGGATTTCCACACCAGGTTCACAGGGTGAATACCCTCTTTTGTGTGTTGAATGTCAGTATCCACTGCCACAGATGGGTCTTTGTGTTACTTGAGCAATGACAGGCAGGTGGTATCAAATGCCTGTTGAGTGGCTGCTAGTTTGTCCTAGGGTCAGTCATCATTAGAAGACATCGCTCTCAGAAGGCTACCTGGACCTGTTTATTTTTTATTTTTTTTAAAAGGACAGGGCTAAAAATATAGCTCAATGATATTGTGTTTTTTAGCATGCTCAACGATCTGGGTTCAACCCACCACCAGAAACAACAAGGGGGCACCAGTGGTACCAACATGCCCTGTGGGTCAATGGTTCTAGAAGACAGGACACTGGCCTCAGCTGGGTTTGCATTCTTTTTCTCTCTCCCTTCCTCCACAGCCCTCCACCCCCATCTCTTCCTTGGGAATCTAATAACAATAGTGGATGAGTGGAATAGAAGTTCCTCCCTCGAGATTTATGATGCAGATGCTGTCACTTTTTCTTTCCTAGCGGTCCACGTGGAAGTCAAGGTCGGTGCCACCTCAGCAGGCTCCCGCTGAAAGAATATGAGAGACCCTCCTTCCTCTGCAGCACACCAAAATCTTCGGAGCACTGGGAAGGTGTCCCTTGAAGTTCCCAGAGGAATCAAGGGCAATGCACTCTGGGCCAGCTGAGTAGCAAGGAGACACCCCCGACCCCTGCCTGCCAAAGTCTCATTTCTGGGACAGCACCCTTCTGTGCCTAGGAATCTCAAAGCATGACATGTGAAAGGGGTTTTTATGCCGAGCACGTCAGCAGGCTGAGGAGCTAGTGTGCCTAAGACCTGGAATTTCTTTCTGGCTCTCAGCATGAGTCATGATTGTTTCCCTTGCGTCATCCTCCGCATGTGACTTTTCATCTTACATTCTGGCTTTGCTCCGGGAGACTGCACTGCCCATGCCAGAGACCCGCTGAAAGGTCACCCCAGAATGGCTCCGGTGGGAGGGGCTTACCTAGCAGTGTGGGTCCTGAACTGTGATCTTTAACGCTCCTCTTTGGGAGATGAAAGCAAGAATAAAGGATTCTAAAGGAGCCCCACCTTCAGATTTTTGGAATGATAATATAACCAGAAGATCCCCCCCCCCTCTGAATTACTGTAACCAGCAAAGTAAGCCTCTGCCATCCCTGCCTAATCCAAAATGGAATTTACGAGGAGAGGTTCTTAAATAGAGTGATCTGGATATATTCTTTCCTGCCTAGGGAGACCTAGCACCCATAGAGTTCCTTTAAATAAGCAGTGAGAAGCCCCTGTGTCTTCCTGGAGATTTGCAAGCAGATGTTGCTGAACCTGCATCAGACTGGGTTTATACTTGTCTTGATAGATCACTTCCAGACACTGCTTGAACCTGTGCAGAATGAGTTGAGGAGTTTCTTCATCTACAAATCCAAGTCCTTGGTGAGTTTTTGTTATTGTTTCAATGTCATATTTTCCTGTATTGTTCCTGAAAGTCTTGGCACTTCTTACACACACACATACACACATACACACACACACACACCACATACACACATATATACACACACTCACACACACTTTTTTTGTTTGTTCGTTTTTTTTCTGAGATAGGGTTTCTTTGTGTAACAGTCCTGTCTGTTCTGGAACTCACTCTCTAGACCAGGCTGACCTTGAACTCACAGAGATCCTCCTACCTCTGCCTTCAGGTGGTGGGATTAAAGTCATGACCACTGCTTGGGTCACACACGCTTTTATTTTATTTTTATTTATTTTTATGTTTTTTATTTAAATTAGAAACAAGCTTGCTTCACATGTCAATCCCAGCTCCCTCTCCCTCCCCCAATCCCCACTCTATTCCCCAAGGAGGGTGAGGCTTTCCATGGGAGATCTCCAGAGTCTGTCATTTCATCCAGGGCAGGGCCTAGGCCCTCCCCCAAGTGTCCAGGCTGAGAGAGCATCCCTCATTGTGGGATGGGCATACAAAGTCCATTTGTGTGCCAGGTATAAATACTGGTCTATACCCAAAGTCACCTAGGTTACCCAGTCCTCCTCATTAATACCCACTTTCAGGGAGGGGGTCTGGATCAGTCCCATGCTGGCCTCTCAGCCATCAGTCTGGCATCCAAGATCTCCCCCTTGTTCAGGTCAGCTGTTTCTCTGCGTTTCACCACTCCAATCTTGACCCTTTTGTTCATCACTCCTCCCTCTCTGTCACTGGGTCCCAGGAATTCAGTTCACACACACGATTTTAATGAGCAGGTCTTGCTATTGCAGTCTTGTAACTCAGACTGGCCTCTGATTTGGGGCAATCTTACTGCCCCAATTTCCTTAGTAGTAGAATTACTGGCCCACACCACCACATCTACCTGGGATTTTTGTTTTTAAACAATTTAAATAGTATTTATTGCATTTAATACTATGGGAAATCCAATGATAGTTGTTTTAAAGAATGTATTTGTGTGTGTATGTCTGTCTATGTATGTGCTGGTTCCCACACAGGCCAGGAGAGGGCACCAGGTCACCTGGAGCTGTAGTTTCCAGGGTTTGTGAGCCACCTGACAGGGGTGCTGACACCTGCACTCAGGCCTTCTGGAAGAGCAGCAAGGGCTCTCAATGGCTGGGTTGTCTCTGCAGCCCTCAATGAGTGTAGTCATTTAATATCAGTCATTCATGGGAACAGACTCCTATTTGGTTCTTCTAGCTGGTGATATTCACCCACAAAATCCAGTTATGTACAAGAACACTTTCAAGTTTGCTTTTTATTTAACAAAGCAAACTTTCTTTTGATATTTTATTTTTAAATTTTCTTTATATGTATATATTTTTTATATTTTATTTTTTAAATTAGAAACAAGCTTGTTTTACATGTCAATCCCAGTTCCCTCTCCCTCCCCTCTTCACCTGCTCCCTACAGACCCCTTATCCCATCCTCTTTCTGTTCCCCAGGGAGGGTAAGGTCTTCCATAGGGGATCTTCAAAGTCTGTCATATCATTTGGATCAGGACCTAAGAAGCCCTCCCCCATGTGTCTAGGTTGAGAGAGCATCCCTCTATGTGGAGTGGGCCCCCAAAGTCCATTTGTGAGCTAGAAATAAATACTGATCCACTGCCAGAGGCCCCATAGGTTTTCCAGACCTCCAAAACTGACACCCATGTTCAGAGAGTCTGAATCAGTCCTATGCTAGTTTCCCAGCTATCAGTTTGGGGTCCAAGAGCTCCCCCTTGTTTAGGTCAGCTGTTTCTATGTTTTTTTTCCAGCCTGTTCTTGACCCCTTTTCTCATCACTCCTCCCTCTCTGTAACTGGATTCCAGGAGTTCAGCTCAGTATTTAGCTGTGGGTGTCTGCTTCTGCTTCCATCAGTTACTGGATGAAGGCTCTAGGATGGCATATAAGGTATTCATCAATGTCATTATCGGAGAAGGGTATTTAAGGTAGCCTTTCCACTATTTCTTAGATTGTTAGTTGGGTTCATCCTTGTAGATCTCTGGACATTTCCCTAGTGCCAGATTTCTCTTTAAACCTGTAATAGTTCCTTCTATTATGGTATCTCTTTTCTTGCTCTCCTCTATTCTTCCCCTGACTCAATCTTCTTGCTCTTTCATGTCCTCCTCTTCCCTCCTCTTCTCCCCTTCTCTTTTTCCTAACTCCCTCTCCCCTCTCCCCATGCTCCCAATTAGCTCAGGAGGTCTTGTCCCTTCCCCCTTTTCTGGGGGTTATATGTATATTTTATTTATTTTTTTTAATGTGATATATTTTGATCATAGATTTTTTTCCTTCTCCTAGTTCCTTCCACATTCTTTCCATCTCCCTACTCACTCTCCTTCATGGTTTTTCTTCTCTCTCTCTCTTTAGACAAACAAACTAATAAAAAAATTCTAGAAATCAAAATAAACAAGCGAAAGACTTGTAAGACAGAAGATGCCCAAACAAAGCAACACAAGACAAGATAATTATTTTCTTTTTTGAATTACATTTATTTATTGATGTGTGCATGCATGCGTGCGTGCGTGTGTGTGTGTGTGTGTGTGCGCGTGTGTGTGCGTGTGTGTGCGTGCGCGCTACAGGGATGTGTAGGTCAGAGGATAACTTGAGGAGTCTGTTCTATCCTTCTAACACTCAAGGCCTGGGGGTAGACTTGAGTAGTCAGGTTCAGCAACAATTACCTTTACCAGGTGAGTCATCTCACTGGCCCTAGTTTCTAGTTTGAAAAAGAACGATATCCCCTAATTTTAATAGTTCTATCAGCTGTCCTTCTTTTAGGAAAGAGATATGTGATAAAAAAACGAGAGGAAGCTGGAGAAGTTGTCTCTCTTGACAGAGCTCTCCTTCACACTTGTTCCCATGGAGTTCATTCACATTTCTAGTGGTCCCTAGTAAGCTCTGGGCCTTCAAAGAGAACATTTTCTGCCACCTTTATTAATCAAGACACTTTTTTCTCTTTTGGAGTACCTCACTAACCTCTGGGAAGCTTCAGGGATGAGTTTGGATCTAACCAGAGGTTGTCACTTCCATGGTTCACCTGGTACCCATGCAAAGCACACACAGGGAGAGATGCTCACTAAGTGTGGTATGCTGGCTAACTTGGGGGTGGCTTCAAGCAGCTGGCTAGTTTTCAAGTCTCCATACCCTTAGCCACTGCTGAGTTTGTCAGGTCCAGGCTGATAGACAGGAAGGTAAAACATGATTTTATGCACATAATGTGAGGTTCTGCTCCCCACGCAACACACAGTAGACAGTGATATGGGGTTGGATGCTCCATTAAATTCTGCCTTCTTCTTTCTGTGTCTTTTATTGTAGGTACATGCATATTAAAACCATTTGAAAAGTAGATTTGGGCCAGTGATGTGGCTCATCACGTGAAGGTGTTTGCTGCCAAGCCTGTTTGATTCCCAGTATCCACAAGGTAGAAGGATAGAAACCCTTCCAACTTCTACATGGGAACAATGTCATGTACTTCCTTACACCAACACACACACGCACATACGCACACACACACACACTTTACAAATAATATAAAATATTTTTTAAGTACAGGCTGATTTCTATTTATGAACTATACTCCATAGCATGCCCCCTTTATTGTCAACTTGACACAAGCAAGAGTCATCAGGCAAGAGGAAAAGCTCAAATAAGAAAAATTCTTCCATCAGCTCGGCCCGTAGGTAAGTATGTGGGCTACTTTCTTGATTGATGATTGATGTGGGAGGGCCCAGCCCCTATGGGCAGTGACACTCCTGCACAGGGGGTCCTGAGTAAGCCATGAGGAGCACCGTAGTAAACAGTATTACTCGCTGGCCTTTGCTTCAGTTTCAGGATCCCACCTTGAGTTCCTGTCCTGACTTCCCTTCATGATGATCTGGAGTTGATTTTGGTCCTGGTCTTCATTCAGATCAATAGAAACCTTACTAAGACATGCTCTAACAAGATTTTAAATTAAGATATATTTCTTTTAGTTTATTTCATATGTAGTATGTGTGTAGGCATGTGTGTGGCATGGTGTACATGTGAATCACTTGGAGGAACTGACAATGAGCTCAGTTTATCAGGCTCCATGCTGGGCAGTTTATCAGGCTCCATGCTCCACCAAGTCATCCCTTTGGTCCAGGATTTTAACAACAAATATTTCCTGGGTATATAGGAGGTACTGTGACTGGGGCCATGAGGAATACAAATAAGTGAATAATTAGACCACTCTTTGTTTTCTAGAAGTTTGCAATCAACAAGCACTACTGGATTGTAGGCTCAGAATACAGTCAACTGAGCAGGCTCCCACCTACGAGAAACTTCTGTCAAGCCATTATAAATAAATAAGTAAATTATTACATGCACTACAATTTGAAGCATTTGGAGCTTTCTCAGGATTAATGATATACATCTTGGCTAAAAATTTGAAGAGATAGTATGTTTGAGATTTTGTAAAAATCTGCACATCCATCCTAGTTAACTAGCCCACAGACCTGTTAGGGGAGTGAAATCGGTCTCAGGGATGGCCGTGATACGTGATGGAGCCAGGAGACAGGGAGGAAGGAGGAGGGAGAAAAAAACGGGTTGATCATTTTGAGGTGACATTAAATTATCTTTTGACACCAGCTGTATCTTTTTTATCACAGAAAATGGAAACAACTCTGTCCTTGACCTTCAGAAAGAAATTGACTTGCCTAGCTTAACTATTCAAACAAACAACTGTGTACTCTCCTCAATTCCTGTGATGATTTTGATTTACTGTAAATGACGGGATTTAATGAACTAAATTATGCTATTTAAATGCATTTTGTGAATGGTACTGTAGTTTGTTACAAAGCATTATGTCTATGCTAAATTGTGCTGTAAACGATATGGTACGGAACATATGTGCTGTACTCATAATTTAACCGTTGTTCTACAGTGCTTCTTGCTAGGACGCAGCAAGGAAGGAGCCTTTATTTACCTGGTGAAATGAAGGTGATATCTCAGCGAATCACTAGGTCTTGCTGACCTTGGCAGAATTACAGTGCTAATATTTTCACATGGATGAACTCTTCTCAAACAATTTCTCTAATGTATATGGCAGAAATAGGCTTTCCATTATAGCTGGGTATATATGGTAGATCTTCTCTTTCCATTTTTCCCCTTCAACAAACATTTACTGCAGTCATTGCAAGGATAATTCCACCTCTGCTGAGGTTCATGTCTGCTTCTGGCTTCTCAGTGCTCCAGTAATAGAACACGGAGGTTTGTCCTGCAGGGACACTGGTAGCCTTTCTGAAAGGACCTGAGTTAAAAAGCACACCACTTTACTTCTTTCTTATCCACTCAAGAAATAAAAAGTAGAATATCCAGGCTAAAATACTGCTTTATTCTGGACACAGCTACATTTAGGAGCAAATGGGCTTCCTAGCAGAGCTCAGCATCAGGGCCCAGGTTCCTTACGTGGAAGATTTATTTTTGTTGCTACTGCTATTATTTTTATTTTTGGTTTCTGGAGATTGAGTCTCTATGTAACCCTGGCTATCCTGGATTCTCTATGTAGATTAGGCCACATGTAGGATTTATAAGATGGAAGAGTTTGTGCTTTCATCTGTTGACTTTTCTTGAGTCAGGTAGAACAGGCCCAGCTTTTCTTTACAAAATTACCAGTTAGGTTTGCATGAATAAAGGGAGAGATGGTTGAATTCTCCTTGTAGGAGGGAAGCATTAGACACAAATAAAAAATTCTCCAGTAACAATACAACTAAAAATATTTTATTTATTATTTTATTGTGTGCGATGTGCTTGTGTGTGGCACATGTATGTGGAGGGGTAGGACAGATGACAGTTTGTGGGGATGAATTATAAATAGAGGTTTCTCTGTCCTGCCCTGTCTTGCAGCCAATTCTACATAATCACTCAGAGGCTTAATATTAACTACAAACTGCTTGGCCTATAGTTCAGGTTTATTCCTAACTAGCTCTTACATTTAAACTGACCCACTCCTATTCATCTATGTTTTACCTGTGCCCTAACACATCTTGCTCCTATAGTGGCTGTCCGGCATCTCCCAGACTCCGCCCTTCTTTTCTCCTATATCCAGTTTGGCTTTCCCACCCAGCTATATTCTTCCTTGCTATAGGCCAGAGCAACTTTTGTTATCAATCAATGAGAGAAACATATATTCACAGTGTACAGAGGGGTTATCTGTGCCACAGCAATGGGTTCTCTTGTCTCTCTATTCTGTGAATCCCAGAGACAGAACTCAGCTCCTAAGGCTGAGAGACAAAGCCTCACCCATTGAACCTTCTTGCTGACCTAAGTGTCAAATCAGTTTAAACATTTATTGCTAGTGGGCCAGAGAGGTAAGCACGGGTAAGAAAGGACATTTGCCACTAAGCCTGATGATGAGCAGGGAGCCATGTAGTGGAAGGAGAGGACTAGTTCCTGAGAGTTGTTCTCTCTCTCTCTCTCTCTCTCTCTCTCTCTCTCTCTCTCTCTCTCTCTCTCTCTCTCTCTCTCTCTCTCTCTCTCTCTCTCTCTCTCTCTCTCTCTCTCTCTCCACACACACACAAACACACACACACCCAGTTGAAAAAGTTAGAGAGAAATCCACCAAATTCTTCAACCATGGGGGATGATGCTTCTATTTTTCTACTCAGAGGCTCAGCTTCACAATATTGTAATTCTACTTGCTGTTGGAAGGTAAAGAAACATTCACAGGAGGGCCCCACCATTATGACTTTATTCAACCTGGATTACCTCATTAGCTGTCTCTTTAAACACAGTTAGAGTGTGTGTGGGGGGGGGTCACAGCTTCAACATGTGGATTTGGTGGCATAGGGGAAGAAAATCCAGTCCTCGGGAACCTCAGTGAATGGCAAGTCAAATAGTTTAACTTCATTTCTCCTCTCTAAGTGGAAGTTCACACTTCATGTTGCCCAGTGAGGTCTGAAGTTGTAATGGTTGATTTTTGGCTGTCAACTCTACAGTATCTGGAATCAACCAAAACCCAAGTTGCCTGGGTACTCCTCCTGTGAGGGTTTGTCTTGACCAGATTATTTGAATTGGTGAGACCCACCCTAACGGTGGGCAGCACCTTCTGGTGGCAGCCCAGATAAAGGGACACGGCAAAAGGAAACCATGTGTTTGCCCACTTGCCCTCACTCCCACTGGCAAGTCCATCTATCCTGCTGCTGCAGCATCCCTTCAGTGACATTAGGACCAGTCTCTTTGGGCTTCCAACATAGACCGAGGACCTGCAGCTCTTTAGGACTCATTCTGTCAGTTCTGTTCTGTCCCTGACTAATGTGGCAGCTTACCAAGTGAAACCGTGAATGTTGGCTCAGCAAAATGGTTATTCTTTCTTTTTCTTTTAGATTAAAAAAGTATTTTTAAAGATTTTATTAAGTATGTATATATGTATGCTTCTCTGTGTGGGTACGTGCATGTAACTTCAGGTGCCCAAAGGTGATAGGAGACAACGTCAGATCCTCTGGGACTAGAGTTACAGACAGTTATGGGACTCCACGGGGTGCTAAGAGTTGACACCCAGGTCCTCTGGGAGAACAGCAAGTGCTCTTAACCACTGAGCCAGTTCCCTAGCTCTGTACTAAAATGTTTAAAGTACAATATGGAGATGGCTCAGGAGGTAAATGCACGTGCCCTGCAAGCCAGCTAACCTGAGTCCTATCCTTAGAACTCACAGTAGGAGAAAACAAAATTCTGAAAGTTACCCTTTGGCCTCTAAAATACCCCTCTTCCAACACACATACACACATGGGGCAGGGGGTAATGTTTGCCCCCCACCAAGGGGGAGGATGTTGATTTTTCTTTTCATAATGACTTAAAGTATTTGGCAACTACAGTTCAAAATAAGTCTATCTTCTAGCAAGAAATTGGAATTTGATTTATTTTGATGATTTTTGTTTTATTTTTTAATTTTTTTTGGTTTTTCAAGATAGGGTTTCTCTGTATTATTTTGGAGGCTGTCCTGGCACTCGCTCTGTAGACCAGGCTGGCCTCGAACTCACAGAGATCCACCTACCTCTGCCTCCCGAGTGCTGGGATTAAAGGCGTGCGCCACCAACGCCCTGGCTGATTTTTGTTTTATTTTGTTTTGCTTGCCTGTCTGGAATTTGAGAATCCCCTGCTTCAACCTTGAGTGACTACTGAGATTACTCAGGCCCGTTTACCTATCACTACAAGGAACACTTATGATGCTTTTGAAGTACAGTTTATTTTAATTTTTTTATCAAATGCATGAAAGGTTAAGAGATGAAATCTAGAAAGGTTACATCTCTAACTGAACTATAAGAGGAAATCATAATATAGGCAACGGGCAGAGAAAATGAAGCCAGTGGGAGAATGTCCTCAGTCTAATGAGATTGCCTCTGAATGTAGCAACTTAGAATTAGGTGTATGCAAATGGCTGGTTAATTTTGATGAGTTGCTGTAAGGAAAGAATGACTTTCTGTCTTTTTTTTCCTGAGCTGTATTTGGCATTTTCACTGGTGATTCATTTAATGTGTCTCCTGGTAATAGTCTCTCTCTATTTTTTTCAGAGGCAGGAATAAATGCTACAACTAGTGTTTTTAAATATTGTGAATCAGCTGGTAAAGGTGCTTTCTGTGTGAGCCTGAGTTTAGTCCCCAGAAGCTACTCTGGAAGAAGAGAACCAATTCCAACATCCACACGTATGTCATGGCACATGTGT